ATGTATGGTTACTCCTGTATCAAGGCCAAATCGAATAGTCTTCGTGGCCTACCGAAATTGAGATTCCAAGGCAGATAACCATCGGTTCACTTCCGCGTTCAAGGATGCTTGTACACGCTCTTGTGTAATTTTTAACTGGCGTTTATCCGCACTATTACTCATGACGAAGATGCCCCTGAGATGTTCTACTAGAACACGACTAGAAATTCAGAAAAATTTGTTCAGTTCATCAGGGTTTCGAGAGAAATGCTGCTTCTGGTTGAATGACCTACATGGGTACCTGTACTGTTCTGTATGACCACGTAGGCTAGCCGACTTCATCAGCTCAAGGAAGAGGTCAAATGTCCTCGCAAGGCTCTATGCTAATCTTTGGAGTCCATTATGCAGTTTATGGAAGCGAAATTTTGACACAACATCATCACAAAAAGCACCCACACCTTTCACATTTCCTTAACTAAAATTGCAAGCGCTGAAGTGAATCGGCCACCTTCGCAAGTCACTTCAAAAGTGTTTATATTCGCAGGATCTGTTTGTATAAACCAGTTTTGTCCAAAAAATACCAACTTTACTGGAATTATCTTGCTATATGGTGCGACTGTGGAGCAGACTCAACCTTGTTCAAACTCTCTTCAAGTTCAACTTTACGGGTTGAAGTTGTGCCACTTTGCAATGGCCACTGAGCCTTCGGACCATCTTTGTTGCTTTCCTGGTAATGTTGTTGCATAATTTCACCGCACTCCAGTTCATATTTTTCAAGATAGAAACCTTAAATCAGGCACGACGCCGATTTGAAGCGGAAATACTGCACGGGACAGCCCTCATAACTCTTCTCTAATCATTTATAGAAACCATTTTGTGGATGTTCTGATATTGTAGAATATCTGGAGACGTAGGAGCTTTTCAATTATCCATGAGCAGTGCTAATGACTGTCCGAAGTTCTTTGGAAAGACTCGCGAACCGTGCCAAGCACCATGAAATGCATAAACTTTACCTTTTCTTCAAAAGGCGAGTACGAAACATTCCATAAATTTAGCTACTGGGTGTGTTTGTAACAAACATTCAATTTCACAGGCAGGTTGGTTGTTTCCGATAATGTAGTATTCATTTTCACAGGGTGACCTTATATTATGAAACGGTGCAAAAATCGAAAAATAATTACAAAAAAGTTCGAAGAAAAGCTGCTCCCACCAAAATTGCGATACAGGGGTTATTCGTAGTGGGGAATCATTTGGTGATAGTGGAAAAATCACCAGTTGGCTGCTGGTCCCGGAAATGCAATATTTGGGGTGACCTTATAGTTATGAAACGCACTGTAGTGTTCACGGTGAGATGCTAATCAATCTGTGCTCGCTCCCTTTTCGATGTTTGGGTGAGGTATCGATATTTGCACATTTTTGCCTATAGGGTAAGCGGGTGTCCTTTTCAAAAATATAAGTCAGCATCACTAGCGCAGATGCCAGTGGCCCCACTTTTACGTCGCTATTTTTTCAGTAAATTCACTAGTATCGGCACATCACCGGGACTATTGATGATTTTGATCACACTCTTCTTGTCACATTTTATGCACCTTGCAGAAATTGTTGTAAGTAAAACACTATGTGCAAAAA